AGGGCCCATTCATACTAGCAGGGTACAGTAACGCATGGCAGCGCATTCTGCGTGCATCGGCCATTACGTTCAGGCTGTTCACACGTGTAGAGCTATCTGTGTTGGATCGCTCTTTAGAGGGCATTTGTCAGACCGGGAGGAGGCGTTATGTCGCTTCAAGTTAACTCTGTAAATGCTGCACCACCACACCGCCACGGTGACATTGCAGTTTTATTTCATTTTTCGTGCTCGGTGGTTTTTTTTTTTTTCGCTTCAGCCATGAAGCACAACGTTGTGGCCTTGGCATGTGTACAGCCCTGAGCGCTTTCATGCCTAGGTTCAGGCAGGTGGTTGGAGGTGGAGGGTGGTAAAACCTCTCAACCGCCTAGTTTTACCACCCATTAGCCGCATATGTGAATGAAGCTTTAGTGCCCGATCACATTGGTGCGATTTCAAGTGCAATTTGTGAACTGAAATCACATTTAATGAATGCCAGTGTCTTCACATGCGCGGTTTGCTGCAGCGCGATTTCTACAGTAGTTCTTGCGTGACTTTTTCTGCAGTTTTGTTGCAATTTCACATGCATAGAATATAATGGAAATCTCACTGCAAATCGCAAGAAAGCGGTGAAAATCTTCACAAGTCGCAATAAAGTCTTCAGAAATCGCACACAAATAGCGTGATTTTAAATCGCAGCGGTGTGACCGGCGACTAAAGGGACTTTGTCTTTATAAGGAAGAAGAATGGGCCACCAGCTGGTGTTGTGCGATGCGCGGGGCCACAGGTCCTTCTTGTGGTGGGGGAGCACCTGCACTCTTTAACCCACTCCTACTAGTGGCCAGCTTGGGTAACTACACCGGGCACCTCTGTGCCTACTACCCTACTCTGTCCCTGATCAGGTGATACATTCTGGCCCTCCGGCCCTGTAATAAAGACCGCTCACTGCTCACTGCTGCTCTCTCCTTGTGCAGGGGGACTGGTCTTGTCTCCTCCCCTTCCTGTAATAAAGACCGCTCACTGCTGCTCTCTCCCCTTGTGCAGGGGGACTGGTCTTGTCTCCTCCCCTTCCTGTAATAAAGACAGCTCACTGCTGCTCTCTCTCCTTGTGCAGGGGGACTGGTCTTGTCTCCTCCCCTTCCTGTAATAAAGACCGCTCACTGCTGCTCTCTCTCCTTGTGCAGGGCGAATAAAGACTGGTGCTTGGTCTTGTCTCCTCCCCCTCCTATTACTTTCTGTAGTGGGTGTAGCCTGGTGGGCCCCTCCCACAGCTCTGCTCTCTCCCCTTGTGCAGCGTTACAAGACCAGGGTGCAGTTTTGTCGCGATTTCACATACATAGAATATCATGGAAATCGCACTGCAAATTGCAAGAAATCGTTGAAAAAAGTTGTATTAAAATCTTCAGAAATTGCACCTGAAATTGCGCTAAAATCACGCAATTTTAAATCACAGCGGTGTGACCGGTGACTTAATGTGGGTTGTCTCTGGCAGTGTATGGGTGGAAGGTGGGGGAGGGGGGAGAGAGCAGGCGCAATCTGTCTGCGCTGCTGCCACCATGTCCTGGGCATTGCTTAGTACTCACAGGGGTTGATTTACTAAAGGCAAATTGTTCAGGGAATTTTCCCCAAAGTTTTGTGAATGAGGTGAAGCTACACTGACTTCCATCCAATCATGTGCAAGCAAAAGTGATGTTTTCTTTATTTTCCTTGCACGTGATTGGATATTCTTTGCACCACATTTACTAAGCTAAGGGGAAATTCCCTTGTAAAGTGAACAGTCTATTTGCCTTTAGTAAATCAGCCCCATTATGTCACACCAGCTCTGTTCAGATCCGATTAATATACATAAGTGCTGCAGATTGTCCCGTAATCCTATCCTGGCGTATTCACCAAATTGGATTATGAAATGTTTGCTTTATAAACGTTCCATATCACAGCTGTTACCGCAACTCAGCCAAGAAATCAGGAACCGAGCCGAGACCTTTAAAGGACTGTGAAGTGGAGATTTGCAGGGACTCATAAGTCCATGGAGGGATCTCCATCGATCAGGGACTCAGAGGTCTAGGGAATGATCTCCATCATTTCGGGATGGATCTCCATCAATCATGGACATTTCTCTATCGATCAGGGACTCAGAAGTCCATAAATGTTGCTGCCTCGATCAGGGACTCAGAAGTCCAGGAATAGATCTGCCTCGATCAGGGAGTCAGAAGTCCAGGGATGGATCTCAATCAATCAGGGACTCAGAAATCTAGGGACTGATCTCCATCATTTAGGAATGGATCTCCGTCAATCATGGACTCAGCAGTCCAGGGATGTATCTCCATTGGTCATGGACTTAGTAGTCCAGGGATGGATCTCCATCAATCAGTGATGGAGCAGTCCAGGGATTTTTCTCCATTGATCAGGGACTCAGCAGTCCAGGGATACATCTCCATCAATCAAGGACTCAAAAGTCTAGGAATAGATCTCCCTCGCTTAGGGACTCAGAAGTCTAGGGATTGATCTCCATTTAGCAGGGACTCGATTGTCCAGGGATGGATCTCCGTTGATCAGGGACTCAGATGTCCAGGGACATTTCTCCATCGATCAGGGACTCAGAAGTCCAGGGATGGATTTTCATTGAACAGGGACTCAGAAGTCCAGGGATGGATCTGCCTCTTTCAGGGACTCAGAGATCCAGGGATGGATCTCCATTGATCAGGGACTCAGAGGTCCAGGGATGGATCTCTATCAATCAGGGACTCAGAAGTCCAGGGAAGGATCTCCATCAATCAGGGACTCAGAAGTCCAGGGATGGATCTTTATCAATCAGGGACTCAGAAGGAATGGATCTCCGGCAATCATGGATGCTCAGCAGTCCAAAGGATGGATCTCCATCAATAATGGGACTCAGCAATCAAGGATGGATCTCCATCAATAATGGACTCAGCATTCCAGGAATGGATCTCCATCAATCAGGGACGCAGCAGTCCAGGGATTTTTCTCCATTGATCAGGGACTCAGCAGTCCAGGGAAGGATCTCCATCAATCAGGAACTCAAAAGTCTAGGGACTCAGACTTAGGGACTCAGAAGTCCAGGGATGGATCTCGATTTAGGAGGATCTTTACTCGATTGTCCAGGGATGGATCTCTGTCGATCAGGGACTCAGTTGCCCAGGGTCATTTCTCCATCGATCAGGGATTCAGAAGTCCGGGGATGGATTTTCGTCGATCAGGGACTCAGAAGTCCAGGAATGGATCTGCCTCCATCAGGGACTCAGAGGTCCAGGGATGGATCTGCCTCCATCAGGGACTCAGAGGTCCAGGGATGGATCTCCATTGATCAGGGACTCAGAAGTCCAGGGAAGGATCTCCATCAATCAGGGACTCAGAAGTCCAGGGATGGATCTTTTTATCAATCAGAGACTCAGAAGTCCAGGGATGGATCTTTATCGATCAGGGACTCAGAAGTCCAGAGATGGATCTTTATCGATCAGGGACTCAGAAGTCCAGGGATGGATCTTTATCGATCAGGGACTCAGAAGTCCAGGGATGGATCTTTATCGATCAGGGACTCAGAAGTCCAGGGATGGATCTTTATCAATCAGGGACTCAGCAGTCCAGGGATGGATGTTTATCGGTCAGGGACTCAGCAGTCCAGGAATGGATCTGCCTCCATCAGGGACTCAGAGGTCCAGGGATGGATCTGCCTCCATCAGGGACTCAGAGGTCCAGGGATGGATCTCCATTGATCATGGACTCAGTAGTCCAGGGATGGATCTCCATCAATCAGGGACTCAGAAGTCCAGGGATGGATCTCAATTGATCATGGACTCAGTAGTCCAGGGATGGATCTCCATCAATCAGGGACTCAGAGGTCCAGGGATGGATCTCCATTGATCAGGGACTCAGAAGTCCAGGGATGGATCTTTATCATGGACTCAGAAGTTCAGGGATGGATCTTTATTGATCAGGGACTCCGAAGTCCAGGGATGGATCATTATCAATCAGGGACTCAGAGGTCCAGGGATGGATCTCCATTGATCAGGGACTCAGAAGTCCAGGGATGGATCTCTATCAATCAGGGACTCAGAAGTCCAGGGAGGATCTCCATCAATCAGGGACTCAGAAGTCCAGGGATGGATCTTTATCGATCAGGGACTCAGAAATCCAGGGATGGATTCATTATCAATCAGGGACTCAGAAGTCCAGGGATGGATCTTTATTGATCAGGGTCTCAGAAGTCGAAGGATGGATCTCTGTCCATCTCTGGGGACAGATGACATGTGACATGACCCTATAGACGTCTGCCATGGCTGTGTGCCCTCTGTGCCCCGCTGGCACTGTTCAGTGTTTATTTGTGGGATTGGCGTGGTGTAGTCACCATCCGTCTCCTCTCAGAACAAGCCGTGTTCTTCTCCAGCGTTCTGTGTACCTTGGCAAGATTCGAGAACAGGGAGGATCCGGCTGCTGCCCACACACTGCCCTGTGCCAGGGGAAAACCCAGCAGATAGTATGCAATTATCAGCGGATGTCCAGGAGGGGGCCGCAGACTGACCCCGATGACTTACCTACTAAGAGAAGGGAAGAGACTGTTCATTTAGCAGAGCGAATTTCTCTCTTTATTTTTTGTTTATCCTGCAGGCTGAGTGAAAAACTCCGGCCATACACTAGTAGATTTTGGAACGAATTTTCGTACATTCATTCACTCAGCAAATAGTGTTTGAAGGCAAAACATTTCATTTGCTTTTAACATTCGATTTTGGAATGAATGTCATATCTCGAATGACAACCTCATACACTGCTAGAAACTTGTTCGAAAAAATGTAGAATTTTGTTTGAAAACAAACGTCGATTTGACCCCACTAAAGTCCCGTACACACAATGAGAATATCGAACAAATGATCGTCTGTTGTTTTTTTTTTGCATACTAGTCTCACATCGAAAGTGAAGAGGTTACTAAAGTTACCAAAATTCTCATACGACAGAATAAAAATTTGAAAGTGATGTAATATATTATATTGTATTTTTGGATGAAAACTGTGCTGATTAACCCCTCGCCTTCCAGGCACTTATACCCCCTTCCAGTCCAGGCCAATTTTCAGCTTTCAGCGCTGTCGTACTTTGAATGACAATTGCGCGGTCATGCAACATTGTAGCCGTATGAATTTTTTAGCACAGATAGAGCTTTCTTTTAGTGGTAATTAATTGCCTCGGGGCTTTTGATTTTTTGCTAAACAAACCAAAAACAACTGAAATTTTTTTTTTTTAAAAAAAAGTTTTTTCTTAGTTTTTGTTTTGAAATTTTGTAAATAAGTGATTTTTCTCCTTCACTGATATGCGCTAGTGAGGCTGCAGTGATGGGCACTGATAGGCTGCACTGATGGGCACTGATAGGTGGCACTGATGAGGAGGCACTGGTAGGTGACACTGATGGGCATTGACAGGCATCATTGATGGGCACTGAAAGGCAGCACTCATATATGGCACTGATAGGTGGCACTGACTGACACTGATAGGTGGCACTGACTGGCATTGTTAGGCAGCACTGACGGGCACTGACTGGCACTGATAGGTGGCATTGACTGGCACTGACTGACACTGATAGGCAGCTCAGGTGGGCACTGATATGTGGCATTGATGTGCACTGATATGTGGCATTGATGTGCCAGTGATGGGCACTGGCAGGTGGAACTGATGAGCACTGACAGCTGGCACTGATGGACACTGACAGGTGGCACTGCTGGGGCTACACTGATCATCAGTGCCCTGATGATCAGTGTACATGTCCCCTCCGAAGAATGCCGATTACCGGCTCTCCTCTCCTCTGTCAGCGTGGCAGCTCGTGAGGAGAGCAATGCCGATAACTGGCATTTCCCTATTTACATGCGATCAGCTGTGATTGGACACTGTTGATCACACGACCGAGCCGACATCTTCGGCTCTTTCCGTTGATCGGTGAACTGCTGTATCCGAGGGACACAGCACACCACAGATCGCCGTGCTGCGCTCTCCCGGAGCCACGCACGCGCGGTTAGAGTTGGAGGACGTCATATGACTCCTCCCAGAACGAGAAAACTGCCTTACCCGTCATTATCTTATATGGCGGATGGGAGGCGGTTAAATGAAATACACATCTGGTATAGTACAAGAAACATTTTCATGCTCGTCCCTTGTGTACTAACAATCAGATTATTATACGATCGCTTCGAAGGCGGTATTTTTCTGATCTTTTGTACTAGGCGTCAGGATTAGAAAATGGAACGAATGTTCTGAGAGCAAAATATTTCAAACCAAATTCCAGTAGTGTATGGCCAGATTGACAGATACCTCCTTCAACACTACACAGTGCAGATGGAGGAATCCCCCACTGCAGTTACTGTATTCTGCCAGCTGGCGCTGCTGTGACTGCCAAAATATATGACCAGCATTGGACTCCCCACTCCCTACATTGGGGACCAATACTGCAGGGCATACAGTACATCAATGGTGGTGACATTGCTGGACATACACTATATTGCCCCAAGTATTGGTTGGCAGGCCTTTACACACACATAACGTGTGATGACCTCCCAGTCTTAGTGTCAAGTTCCTCCACCCCAAACTGGCTACTCCATGTCTTTATGGACCTTGCTTTGTGCACTGGTGTGCAGTCATGTTGGAACAGGAAGGGGACATCCCCAAACTCCACCCACAAAGTTGGGAGCATGAAATTGTCCAAAATATCTTGGTATGCTGATGCCTTAAGAGTTCCCTTTACTGGAACTAGGGGGCCAAGCCCAACCCCTGAAAAACACCCCAACACCATAATCTCCCCTCCACCAAACTTTACACTTGGCACAATGCAGTCAGGCAAGTACCGTTCTCCTGGCAACTGCCAAACCCAGACATGTCCATGGGATTGCCAGACAGAGAAGCGTGATTGGTCACTCCAGAGAACACGTCTCCCCTGCTCTAGAGTCCAGTGGCGGCGTGCTTTACACCACGGCATCTGACGCTTTGCATTGCTCTTGGTGATGGAAGGCTTGGATGCAGCTGCTCGGCCATGGAAACCCATTCCATGAAGCTCTCTACGCACTGTTGTTGGGCTCATCTGAAGGCCACACCAAGTTTGGAGGTCTTTAGCTATTGACTCTGCAGAGAGTTGGCGACTTCTGCACACTGTGCGCTTCAGCATGCGCTGACCCCGCCCTGTCATGTGACGTGGCCTACCACTTGGTGGCTGAGTTGCTGTTGTTCCCAGTTGCTTCCACTTTGTTATAATCCCACTAACAGTTGAGCGTGGAATATTTAGTAGCCAGGAAATGTCATGGATGGACTTATTGCCCAGGTGGCCACCTATCACGGGACCACGCTTGGAGTCACTGAGCTCCTGAGAGCGACCCATTCTTTCACCAATGATTGTAGAAGCAGTCTGCATGCCTAGGGGCTTGATTGTATACACCTGTGTCCATGGAGGGGATTGGAACACCTGAATCACATGATTGGGAGGGCGGGGCCAATACATTTGGCAATATTGTGTATATCGATGGTGGCAACATTGCTCGGCATATACGGTCGTGGTGACACTGCTGGGCATATATCAGTGGTGGTGACACCATGCTCTGAACATGAACATCCTCTGTAAATAAAATTGACCATAACCTATCAATCCCTTGATGTATGGGCAGATGATATTTGACATTGTTACGGTAGATTCTGCACAGTGGTCAGTAAGCATCTCTGATTTGCACCAATCACTCATCATAGGACAGGATTGAACCCGTGGACCTACCTGCAGAAATAAGCGTCCAGCACTTCCCATGGATGACTAGCAGGTAAGTGGTTAATGCATGGTGTCACCACCCTTGTGATACGCCCGCCCTTCAGTCTCCAGAGGTCCTCAATACATGGAGCGGGGATTTCCATGTCTGATTGTGTCCGGAATCTAATATTTCCCGAGAAATCCTTCAACGGAGATGTTCCCAAGGCTTGACAATGCAGATTTCCTACAAAAATCTGGCTGCTACTAACATTAACATTGAGATGGGAACAAAATCTTTGCAGCGGTTCCAGGAAAGTGATGTCATTGTAACGTGAACTGTATGGGTGTCAGTTGATCGATATAACTAGGGAGATTTTTTTTATATATTACATTTATTTATTTAGGTTCTCAATCAACAAAAATCACACTCTCCACTGATTGGAGAGCTCTATCTCTGACTCTGCATAAATCAGTGGTGGTGACACTGCTGGGCATATATCAGTGGTGGTGACACTGCTGGGTATATATCAGTGGTGGTGACACTGCTGGGCATATATCAGTGGTGGTGACACTGTGGTGGTGACACTGCTGGGCATATATCAGTGGTGGTGTGGTGACACTGCTGGGCATATATCAATGGTGGTGACACTGCTGGGCATATATCAATGGTGGTGACACTGCTGGGCATATATCAGTGGTGGTGACACTGCCGGGCATATATCAATGGTGGTGACACTGCTGGGCATATATCAATGGTGGTGACACTGCCGGGCATATATCAGTGGTGGTGACATTCAATTCAATGGGTTGCTAAATGCACAGGAACGCACAAAAATTTGTGCAAGCATTACTTTTACAAATTGCTCCGCCCCATAATTTATGGTACTGCATTTGCGAGATGCGTTTGTTCTCCCATGAACAATTAATTGTGTCTCGCGAGAGCAGCGCATTGGCGGGCGTTGCTGGACGTACACATGGAATTTATTTACTCTAGTTTCACTGCACACTGGGAGCTTCTCACAATGTGCATTACAAGCTGAAGCAAGTCAGAGAGAACTCCGCCTCATTTCCTGGCTGGAGGACATCCAGCATCATCTAGCGCTTTCCTCCCAGCCTGTCCCTGGATCCCCCCCTTCCAGTCCGGACACTTTCACCCCCTTCCAGTCCAGACACTGTCACCCCCTTCCAGTCCGGACACTTTCCCCTTCTTGCAGTCTGGACACTTTTACCCCCTTCCAGTCCGGACACTTTCACCCTTTTCCAGTCCGGACACTTTCACCCGCTTCCAGTCCGGACACTTTCCCCCCCTTCCAGTCCAGACACTTTCACCCCCCTTCAGTCCGGACACTTTCCCCTTCTTGCAGTCCGGACACTTTTACCCCCCCTTCCAGTCCGGACACTTTCCCCCCTCCCAGTCCGGACACTTTCACCCCTTCCAGTCCGGACACTTTCCTCCCCTTCCAGTCCGGACACTTTCACCTCCTTCCAGTCCGGACACTTTCCTCCCCTTCCAGTCCGGACACTTTCACCCCCCTTCCAGTCCGGACACTTTCCCCCCTTCCAGTCCGGACACTTTCCCCCCCTTCCAGTCCGGACACTTTCCCCCCCTTTCCAGTCCAGACACTTTCACCCCCTTCCAGTCCGGACACTGTCACCCCCTTTCCAGTCCGGACACTTTCACCCCCCTCCAGTCCGGACACTTTCACCCCCTTCCAGTCCGGACACTGTCACCCCCTTCCAGTCCGGACACTTTCACCCCCCTCCAGTCCGGACACTTTCCCCTTCTTGCAGTCCGGACACTTTTACCCCCTTCCAGTCCGGACACTTTCCCCTTCTTGCAGTCCGGACACTTTTACCCCCTTCCAGTCCGGACACTTTCACCCCCTTCCAGTCCGGACACTTTCACCCCCTTCCAGTCCGGACACTTTCCCCCCCTTCCAGTCCGGACACTTTCCCCCCCCTTCCAGTCCGGACACTTTCCCCCCCCTTCCAGTCCGGACACTTTCCCCCCCCTTCCAGTCCGACACTCCAGACACTTCCAGTCCAGACACTTTCCCCCCCCTCCAGTCTGGACACTTTCCCTTCTTGCAGTCCGGACACTTTCACCCCCCTCCAGTCTGGACACTTTCCCCTTCTTGCAGTCCGGACACTTTTACCCCCTTCCAGTCCAGACATTTTCACCCCCTTCCAGTCCGGACACTTTCCCCCCCCTTCCAGTCCGGACACTTTCCCCCCCCCTCCCAGTCCGGACACTTTCCCCCCTTCCTGTCCAGGCCAATTTTCAGCTTTCAGTGCTATCACACTTTGAATGACAATTGCGCGGTCATGCAACCCTGTACCCATATGAATTTTTTAGCATTTTTTGAGACAGATAAAGATTTAATTTGGTGGTATTTATTCACCGCTGGGATTTTTATTTTTTTTGCTATGTAAATGAAAATACCCAAACTTTTGAAAAAAAAAAAGATTTTGCAAATAAATATTCTTTCTTCATAAATCTTGGCCAAAATTTATTCCGTTATCTTTTTAGCAAAAAGAAAATAACCCAAATTAGTTTATAACCAAAAATTATAAATTTTAAACATTTTTGTTTACATTTTTATTTTATTTTTTTATATTATTATTTATGTTTTTTTACATACTGTCACCATAGTGACACTGTAGATTTTTTTTTCTTTTTTACACTAATTGCTTTTACACCCATAAAGGCTGTAAAAGCAATAATTTCTCCTTCTCTCTGGCTGGATTCTTCCAGCCATTGAGAAATACTGTGTGAGCTGTGATTGGTCACAGCTTGTCACATGGTACAAGGCTGTTGTGAATAGCCCTGTACCATGTGATCTCTGATCATTCACAGATTTCACATGTAGTAAGCAATGATGTCAGAAGCGACATCTTGCTTACTACTCTGCATGTGATCACTGATTGGCTAATCAGTGATCACATGATCGGGACCTCACACAGAGGTCCCGTCCGATGATCGTGTTCCACTGTGTCCGGAGGACACGGCGGGCACCGAATCACGGTGCTGCACAAGCAGGGTGAGGGGAGGCCGTTTATATACAACAGCCGGACGGGAGGTGGTTAAAGAATAATTTGTGAAAATAAGAATAATAAGTGTCCTCCAGATCAGGGGCGGACAGACAACTCATGGGGCCCCCCGGGTAATAGGGGATCATGGGGCCCCTGTGTCCTTGCCCAAACTCAAAAATGCCTATGAAAAAGGTACCAGGGGCATCTCATGGGGCCCCCTACTGACCAAGACCAAGTGATGACATCAGAATCTTGATGAGAAGAGAGGGAGTAGCCAGGGAACAAAAAATATAAACAGAATGAACAGATTTAAAGAAGAAATGGGCAGCAGGTAGGATGAGTATATAAATAATAAAGAATAGAGTTTAGAGGTTCAAATATATATTGCTGTATCACCCAATATATGGCTTCCATCCAGTAGCCAAAAAATATGCAGATCAACAAAGAGATTTGTGAAAAGAGATTCACAAGAAAGCGGCTACATTATGGACAGAATGCGATACTCGGAAAAATTTCCAAAAAATAAACATTAATGATAGACAATAGGGCAATCACCCTGGTTTACCATCACCTCAGTATGAGACAATACACACAGACCTAAAACCATTTAAAATCACACCAAGACCGGTCTGGATATATATGTGCTGCAGAGACAATGACAAACCTTGTCTAGAGCATTTGCAGCACCGCACATTGGTTGCACTCCCTGTAGGAGGTATTTCAAAAAATTGTACCATAGGTACAGTGGGGATCGAAAGTTTGGGCACCCCAGCTAAAAATTTGTATTAATGTGCATAAAAAGCCAAGAAAAGATGGAAAAATCTCCAAAAGGCATTAAATTACAGATTAGACATTCTTATAATATGTCAACAAAAGTTAGATTTTATTTCCATCATTTACACTTTCAAAATAACAGAAAACAAAAAAATGGCGTCTGCAAAAGTTTGGGCACCCTGCAGAGTTAATATCTTGTACTGCCCCCTTTGGCAAGTATCACAGCTTGTAAACGCTTTTTGTAGCCAGCCAAGAGTCTTTCAATTCTTGTTTGAGGTATCTTTGCCCATTCTTCCTTACAAAAGTCTTCCAGTTCTTTGAGATTTCTGGGCTGTCTGTCACGCACTGCTCTTTTAAGGTCTATCCATAGATTTTCAATTATGTTGAGGTCAGGAGATTGTGAAGGCCATGGCAAAACCTTCAGTTTACGCCTCTTGATGTAATCCCCCGTGGATTTCGAGGTGTGTTTAGGATCATTATCCATTTGTGGAAGCCATCCTCTCTTTAACTTCAGCTTTTTCACAGATGGCATCAAGTTACCATCCAAAATTTGCTGAAATTTTATTGAATCCATTTTTCCTTCTACTCGTGAGATGTTCCCTGTGCCACTGGCTGCAACACAACCCCAAAGCATGATTGATCCAACCCCATGCTTAACAGTTGGACAGAGGTTCTTTTCATTAAATTTTGTGCCCCTTCTTCTCCAAACATACCTTTGCTCATTCCAGCCAAAAAGTTTAATTTTAACCTCATCGGTCCACAGAACTTGTTTCCAAAATGCATCAGGCCTGTCTATATGTTCATTTGCAAAGTTCAAACAATGATTTTTGTGGTGAGGACGTAGAAGAGGTTTTCTTCTGATGACTCTTCCATGAAGACCATATTTGTACAAGTATCTCTTTATAGTGGAATAGTGTACCACAACTCCAGTGTCTGCCAGATCTTTCTGGAGGGATCGTGCAGTCAAACGTGGGTTTTGAATTGTTTTTCTCACAATCCTGCGAGCTGTTCTGTCTGATATTTTTCTTGGTCTTCCAGATCTTGCTTTAACTTCCACTGTTCCTGATGACTGCCATTTCTTAATTACATTCCGAACAGAGGATATTGACATCTGAAAACGCTTTGCGATCTTCTTATAGCCTTCTCCAGCTTTGTGAGCGTCAACTATTTTCAGTTTCAGTTTTCTAGACAACTGCTTAGAAGAACCCATGGTGCTGATTGTTGGGGCAAGGTCAGATGAGTCTGGGCATTTAAAACCTTTGAGCTTGACATCACCTGGTCTTCCCAGACGATGATTGAGAACAATCCATGACACTGGCAGGTCTCAGCTTGGCAAAGGGGGCAGTGCATGCTATAAATTCTGCAGGGTGCCCAAAATTTTGCAGACGCCATTTTTTTTGTTTTCTGTTATTTTGAAAGTGTAAATGATGGAAATAAAATCTAACTTTTGTTGACATATTGTAAGAATGTCTAATCTGTAATTTGATGCCTTTTGTAGATTCTTCCATCTTTCCTTGGCTTCTTTATGCACATTAATACAAATTTTTATCTGGGGTGCCCAAACTTTCGATCCCCACTGTATATATAATATAATTCTTCTGCAGGCGGTACTTTATTTCTTTATCACCCAGTGACATGTTGGTTGCATTTTTTTGAAGTGTGTTGTAGAACGAAGTCACCTATGTTCCCCACTCTGTCTATTAGTAGCAACAGTTTGAGTTTTATAAATATAGTGGTCGAGGAAATTAAAACAATGTTGGCTGGACCAAAGAGATAATCTGACAAGAGATGAACGCCAAACACTTAATGATCTGAAAAAGAACAAACATATTGTCATCAGACCAGGGTGGAAAGATTGTTATGAGCTGAGGACAGCATTCTGGAATGTGCCGAAGATTTTATGAGCGCTAAAAGCAGATTTTCGAGTTCAAGGTTACAGGGTGATAAAAAAAAAAGAACAAAAAAAGAGTAATATAAAGCATCTGACCAGTCTTTACCTGTGATGGCTGCATTTGTTTTCTTTTTTGGGCTTTCTTTCTTCCATGTTTACCTGCTGATCCGGCCAGTAAGTCTGTCATTTTTCAAAAGAACAAGCTCTGTTCCAGATGTATCAGTGATAGGGATGAGGCAAAACCACTGACAGGGGTGCTTACAATGATCAGATTACATTTATTTATGTAACGGCTTATAAAGTATGAGCTGGAGTTTGGCTTCAGTTTGTTAGTTTATTTAAATCTGCTAGTCCACCTTTCATTCCCCTTCTCCCTGCAGACTGACAATGCTGCTGTCCAAAGGTGTCCCCTGTGCTCCTTCCTCCAGAGTGGGGACGTTCTCATATCAGAGGTGTGTTACTGGCAGGGGCGGACTGACAACTCATGGGGCCCCTGGGCAATAGGGGATCATGGGGCCCCTGTGTCCTTGCCCAAACTCAAAAAAACCTATGGAAAAGGTACCAGGGGCATCTCATGGGGCCCTCTACTGACCTCGGGCCCTTGGGCAGTGCCCGAGTTTCCAAATGGTCAGTCCGCCCCTGGTTACTGGCAAGATCACCAGGTAAAAACAGAGAGGCAAAAAAAAGAAAACAAATGCAGACACCCCATGTAATGATTGGTAAGCTGTGATATATTACATTTTATTCTAGAACAGTAATGTAGCCGTCGCCGTAGCAGTCCACACAGCTGCTATGGGGCCCGGGACAGAAAGGGCCCGACGTGGAACA